ATGCTGTACGCTTTCAGCTAGCCTCTGCTTTGTTAATATGAAGTCTGTTGTTATTTACCGCACTTGAATGAACATGTCCTCCAATGAGTCCTTGTTTCACCCTTTTCTTTGCTTTTGAAATCAACCACTGAACAGGCAAAATATAATGGACAGCTTTCTGCTTCCTCCATCTCGTATAGTCACAAGAAGCGGGCTGGATAATCAACATGCTGGTAAATCTATTCATGGCAGAGTCTCTGAGTGTGACTAATGCAACGTCCCTGTGAATTAGCCGTGAGCGTTAGAGACACGAAAAAGGCTGGAAGTAGATCAAAATATAGATAATTGTACCATTTTCTTCATTGTTTAGGCCTTGTAATATGCTGTTGCCTGCTTCGTGAAACATGTCAATATGAGATTGACGACATAGAAATGAATCCTTGCCTGTCCCAGCAACAAGCCTGCCATCACTTGGCCTCATGGCCTTGGGATGTTGTTTATACTGCTTAAATTAGCGCTCATGCTATCCATTAGCAGACCGTTTTCCACTGATATTGAAAGATGTGTTGTTTAGCCGGACACTTTTATTTGTGGTAATCAGATTGTGGGTCTTCTGAGCACCGATCAGACCAGGTCTACTTCCTTTCAGCATTCTCTTTATGTAACTCAATCATTTTCTTCCTGCAAGAGTGGCTGTAGCTTTAAAATTTATTTGGTGCTGTTTACATATATGTATAATTTAGCTTGTTTGACATATAAAACTCTCAGAATGCTGTAATTTATGTTTGTATATTCCTTCTCTATTTCCAGCTGCAAGATTCATTAATTACTGTAACTTGAAATAACTAAATGACAAAACGGTATAGGTTGTGGAAATGATTGTTCACTTTCTCCCTGCTCCGTTTTGCCAAGCGGCATGGCAATTGGTGTTAGTTGCCATGACAACATTCATTGTAAAGTTAGACGGCGAGAAAAGAAATGAAGTATGTTTCTATTCAAGGGAATTAAGGAACAATTAAGCAAACAAAATAGTATACTAATTACAACAGCAATTTAATTCATTCACAGAATCATTCACACTTCTTTTTTTTTGTGTGATCAAATCACTTCTCAGTGATTTTGAATGTGTAATTTAGGTCAGTTTTAAGTTAAATTACAGAAATGCCCATTACTGGACAAACTGTCAGTTTGAACAGGAAAAGACCAGAAACCGTTCCATCACACCATACATATGGAGCTGGACTGGTTATGTGATTCATGCATAAAATTGTATTAGGTTTACAAACTCATGTACTATAGTCATCATAACATACTATTGTGCAATTACCTGTGCAAAAAATATATATATTTATTAATAATCTGCCCCTATAATCATAATTTGAGTGAAAAGATGTATGTGATTTATTGACACTAGTGTTTATTTCACCTGCAACTGCAGTGAATTATATATAGGTGTGTTTTACACTGTTAGACCTTACCAGGTTTTTTACAGTAAAATACTGGCAACACTGTTGCCAGTAATTTACTGTAAAAATGCACTAAAACTAATAAGTTGTATTTTTTAGTTAACTTGAGTTTTAGTGCATTTTTACAGTAAATTACTGGCTACAGTGTTGCCAGTATTTTACTGTAAAAAACCTGGTAAGGTCTAACAGTGTAGGAGTTTTGAAGAATGCAGGATCACTTTCCTGTGAGCCTATATGTTGGGACATAATTATGGCCATTTTTTAAACTCTTTACTTAGTTACAGACTTTTTATATTTTTACTTTGTTTTTACGTATTATGTTCTAGTACACAACTAAGAAATGTATACAGGTTGAAAACAACATAAGGGTGTGTAAAAGATTTATGAGTGAGCTATCATGTCAATGAATAGTATTGGTTAGACACATTTATTTAGATAATAAAATTTTCTATTTCTTTCCGTAAGTGCATCATTGGTTCAGTGCGGAGGTGTCAGTCGGTTTTCTGATGAACTAAGCAGTCGTGGTGTCTCTCTCCATTTAGACCTGAACTCACTGTCATTCATTATGATGAAGATTTCAGCCTGCGCCTTTACGTTCATTTCCATATGAATGTGATAAAATGGTGGTGGCGCAGACTTCTGTACAAAGGAAATGGGAAGGTGCGGTGTGACACGTCTAGAGGGAGATGGGAGATGTGCTAAATTAGGGCTCAGAGCTGGTAAAAGAGACTGTTGAATGAGGAGTGGGCGCATGTGTAGCGTCTGGAGCGCTGTGGATCCGACAGAAACTCTGACCACACTGAACAACTGATATTAAAGCAATGAACAGATTATTATGTTCTGCTGCAAAGCAGATTGATTACAATGATAGATCACCCAGAAATGAAAATTGTCATCATTTACTCACCCTAACATTTATTCCAACCTGTATGAGGAACATAAAATAAGATATTTTGTTATCTTCTTCCTATTTTTTTTCACCTGTGTTCACTCTAGAAGTACTCAAAAGTGTTACTATGGTACTGAATGACCATACATGTGATTGTACACAATAACTGTTGAATACCAAAAAATCTACGTGACACTAACCGTTGAGCCGACCGGGGGTCCTAAGCAGAATTTGATTTGGGGGTCCCTCACTACTCCCACCTCCCTCACCTGTGCTTAATGATTATTTACGCAAATATCACGCAATAATATCATATTATAAATTAATACAGTGAGTGGTATGTATAAATACAAAATAAATAGCCTACTTAATTAAAAATAGATAGCCTACTTACATTTTTTTTTTACTTTTACTTTACTCTTTTACTAACTCTTTGAAACTTCTTGTCTCAAAACACATCAAATAAATTACTTGCTAAAATAATGACAACTGAGAAATCCAAAACATAATAAGAGCAAGGGTTCAACAAAGACAATTATTGTTGAAAACTGTAGGCTAAAAATATTTTTATTTCTCAACTGTCTCAATACAGTGTAACTGTCCACAAAATCTTTCTTATTATTATAACAGACTTGTTAGATTGTACGTGACAGAACCCAACAAAGACTGTTACTATAATTCCGGTATTGAAATATGTATAAGCCCTCTGGGCTTACCGTAGATTGGCATGAATAGGGCTTGGTCGTCGTGACGTCATTACTGGCGTGGCGGCCATGTTGGCAGCTTCACGCATGTAAACATACCAGCAAGTCGAACGAGGCAACCCGGTCTCATCCCAAATCGTCATATCGTCAAAATACGTCCCAAAACGTCAGTTATATGACTTTTTGGGATGAGACTGTGTTAAACGAGGAGAAGCCGCAGAGTTGGGATAAAGAAAAAAGATGTTAAAATCCCTAAAAGGTTGTGGAATTTACCGGGATATGTTAAATAGGGAAGCCAGTGACCGGTATGTGGACTAAACCGGCACTTTTAACGGTTTGGATCCATATGAAATTTCCAAAAAAGAGTCGGCAAACAGTGGGAACACAGTAATCCGGACACACTTTAAGATGCGCTTCACCCAGCTGCTAGTTTAGTAACTGTTAGTGGTAACAATCATTCACACATGTACTTTTTAACTACTATGCGTTTCAAAAGTGTAGTTAGTAACGTTAGCTGTCAACCCTCACGTTTATTCCGCGTTTCTCATGTACTTGAGCTCTTTTCCCGCTGTCTTCCCGTTTTAGTATTTTCCTGTAAAATATCTCGTATTTTAATATTCTCATAACATTAACATTAGCCCTTCCAGCGGACCTGTCAGTCTCTGTTGTCCTGTTGCTACCCTCTTGCTTTAAGCATCGTTTGCTTACTAACTCACAGCTAACGTTACTAACTACACTTTTGAAACACATAGTTAAAAGTAGGCTACGTTACATGTGTGAATGGATATTAGCACTATAACTGTTACTAAATAGCAGCTAGGTGGAGCACAGTTAACCTTTGCCCGGATTAAGTTAGCGTAATGTACTGTGCTCCCACTGATTGTTGGAAATTTCAAATGGATCCAACCCGTTAAAAGTGCAGTTTTATCGACATAGGCTACCGGTCCCTGGTTTATTAAACGTATCCCAGTAAATTCAGCATCCTTTCAGGGATTTTAACATCTTATTTATTTTCTTTCTCCCAACTCAGCTGCTTCTCCTCGTTCGACTTGCTGGTATGTTTACATTTGCGAAGCTGTCAACATGGCCGCCATGTCCCATAATGCAACGCGGCGCCCAAGCCCTATTGTCTTCAGTGCTGATTTGCATGACTTAAATGCTGGCAGACTCAGCAACAGTTGTAGGGAGATATATTGATCATGAAATCAGAATTGTCTTGTCTTTAATTATTCATCCATTCGTATTAATCCATTCATTTGTCACTTGTTTAAGTCATCTAAAAAATATTTTTTGATTTTTCGACTCGATTGGGGGGCCCCCTGGTGGCCAAGGGGCGCCAAGCAGCCGCTTAGTTCGTTTAGACAGTGCATGTTCACTGGTCTGGATGATCGATAGAATAAAAGATGTCATAACATGGACATCATCTCGGCAGCAGCCACCGTTTTGACTTCAAAATTAGGATGCCATTTTGAAACTTAAAATAAAAACAAACAGAAAATTAACTCACTCCCCCATAAACTATGCTCACTCAACCCCTTTGTGAAAAGTGCCCCAAATTGCATTTATTCATTTGCATTTAATATAAATTTTAAATATAATAAGCCTACATTTTCGTTAAATTGCAAATCACTTAATTGCAAAGGAGTCAGAAAACATCATTCAGTTTGCATTCAAGTTGGCTAAATTGTTTCCAAAGTCTTTTAAAAAGTATTATAAGTGTACTTACTGTGATAAAAGACTGCGACTAAACTAATATGAATGATTTATTAATTTATTTCATGCTTAAAAGTTGGTTTATTTATCGATTTATTCATATGTTAAAAAGTGGTTTAATGTTATATCCACTACATTGACACATATGATAGGTACATGAAAAGCACTGCAAAACAAGAACCTCAAGCTGTAGTTCTGCTGCTGCGCAACGCCTCGCGCTATACTTCACTGTTGCTGTTCAGCGCGCGCTCAGCTCGAGACATGCAGAGTCTAAATAAAGCGCGTTTAGTCGCGCTCCTTCTCTCTCTCTCTCTCCTTCTCTCTCTCTCTCTCCAACACTGAATGGGTTTCAGTGAGAGTAACGCTTTTTATTCCCTCTGAAGAGCGCCTGCATCCGCGTCTTCAGCATGACTTCGTCGGAATCCAGCGCGCCGGGAAAAGCGTATCAACAAGATCAGGTAGTGACATTAAAGTCAGAGAGAGCTTCTCTCTGGTGGTTCATGTTTATGAAGGGTAGAGTTCGTGGTTTCGCATTCTGATATTTCTGTGCACGTTTTAAATGGCACGTCAACTGAGCATTTAGGCTATTGCATCAATATTTACAATGTGTTGTTTTCGTGCCATTTAAAACAAAAGACACAGCCTATAGTTCGTTATAGTTATTTGGAGCAATGGCAGACTTGGTGAGCATAAGATACGTATTTAAATTTTTTTTAATCCATTATTATCATCATTATTACAAACTTGTTTTGACCGGTTGTGTAGACCTATTAGAGGTGGGTACAGGCTGTTGTTTGTATAAATACTGATTAGAAATGGTTAAAAAAAGGATGTCTCTATCAATGATCTTCGTGCATTCAGCTTTCATACACTATGTATATCCTGCTGAATATGTTAAAAACTTGCAGTGTTGGCTGCATTTTACTTACTGTATATTTTACAGTTTCCCTTCTGTAGCCTACTTTTCTGCATTTCACTTCAGCTCTAGCTCCAGCTACTATGCTTGAAACTTGATATTGGGTCCCGCAAGTGTATATTGTTGGCTCGATGACTTGTTAGTGATGTTCCTCATGGCATTTGTAAATCACTTTGAACATCTGCTAAATTAATACATGTATTTTTTTTACTTCAAAAGTTTATTAAAACAGCTTTTCCATGAACACATGAAAAAAGGGCACTAAAACACTAAAGTGCATGTGATCTTAAACATTACGCTATGTAAAATAAAATTTCCAAAATTACAAACTGATAGCAAGAAATACGAAGAAGCTTTACTATTTATTATACAGTCAAATAATATGTGATCTATCACACAGGGTTGTAGGTCAGGGCAATAGGCTGTAGCCTATTGTCTTGTTGAAAAATAATGAAGATTTGCACCATTTACTATATGGTAATTCATACTTTTTATTTACAAAAAAAAATAGCAACAATTTTTTAATATTTCACGGTACAATTACATGTATTGACCATTAAATCTTAACTTTTATTAAAATCACATTTTAACCTGATATAATTCCAGGTTGTATTGATATGATATGAATAATTTCATTTTTCATCCGAGTTGATTTATATAGTAGAAAATAAAGAGATAAATGTCAATGTTTTTTCAGGTAAATTTCAATGTTTTCTTGTCATATCATGGTGCCATTTATGTCTCTTCACTGCCTGAATATTTTATAGAGAATCTCATATATTTCCATTACGTTAGATAAATGGACACTTCAGGTGCCAGTCGAAAACCACGCACAACAGATGGCCAGCGTAAACACATCTCTTTATTTCACTTCTTTGTCCCCGAGCGCAGTTATTGTGGAAACCTGCAGTTCTCATCATTCAAATCAATTAAGCCAAACTTCATCTGTTGTGCTTTGATTACTTTCATGCTATTCATTAATAACACATTCATCTGACCTTGTTACATTGTTCACCAAACATAACCTGCTGCCCCGCATGTGTTACTCAACTTTAACCGTAAGTCTTGTGCGATTTTTAGAATAGACACGTTTTTTTTTTGTTCTTAATAAAATTAAGCCGCATGAAGAAGAAATGAAGATATTTAGAGCGTATTCACCCTCTCAAGCTGCTTTTTGCACTTCAGCCCTAAGTAGGGCTCTCTGATGACAATGATTAGGGTTTAAGCAGTGGAAGAATTGCCTGTCTTAGAATAGCTTTGGATTCTGCTCAAAGGAGGGGCTATATTTGGAGTGGTGGTGGCGATAAAGTGGGTCTGATAGACGGGATTAATTGGGAATTGCGTTTTGATGTTCGGAGCCCAGATGAAAAAGAACATCCCCCATAAAGTACAATTATGAGCAATCAGTTCAGGCTCAGCACGGATAGACGGGAGCGTGTTTTCACCTGCCCTTCAAAGAGTGCCCGTCTGTTAGAGCAATAACAGCCACGTGTTGGGAACGGCTCAGCTTCGGCAGGTCTTTGGATGGCGATTATCACTTTAATAATGGCCTCTATACGGCGATGAAGTTCCAATCGAAGAACTTTGTTCTGTGATCATTAAGGAGATTTGATAGAGGCACAATCCCACTTAATATTCTGCTATTCACGCAGGCGTTTTTTTTTTTTTTTTGTTTTTTCATTTAAAGATCTCATTTAAAGTTGTCCACTTAATAACTTGTGCTTTTCTGTGGTCTGAAAAGGCACTTAGATATAAGAGCAATGTTTAAGCTGGCTTTCTAGAGGATTGTGTGAGAATTGCTCTGATATTAGATGCCTGTACTCTGTATTTCTTTCTTTCTTTCTTTTATCATCATAGTATATTTCTAGAGGTGATGGATTTTAATATCTCTCTGAGATGTCAGTGGGACTCTATTACATGTCAGTACTCTCTGTCTCTTTCTTTATTGTGTCATACTGGTGAATCTTATTCGTGGTCACGTTTAACACCAAAAATATGACCTTTAAATTTTTTGTGTAATATTTTTCATGACGATCAAAACACATTTTCCCTGCATTATATATATATATATACTGTATATATACACTCTAAAAAATGCTGGGTTGTTTGTTTCAACCCAATTTTGGGTAAAATATGGACATACCCAGCCATTGGGTTAATTTTTTTAACTAAATTTTTAACCCAACGTTTGGGTTTGTCCATATTTTACCCAAAATTGGGTTGAAACAACCCAGCATTTTTTAGAGTGGTATATATATTCAAAATTAATTCAAAATTCTTTTCAAAACGTATTTCATAGATTTGTACTACATATTGCATTGTAAAATACAATACTATGATATAAATGTTTAAAAAAAACTATTAACACCACTATGATGTATACATTATTTAATATCAGTGGGGTTTTGGGCATTACAGTAAATGAAATGAGTGTCTTCATAAAGAAAATGTGCTCTTAATGATCTTAAATATTCTTAATTTCCTTTCTTTTTTTCATTTCTTTTTTTAAATTGTGTGGTAAGAGAGTTATCATGCTTTTCACTTTAGATGTGGATTTGTGCATATCCGCCTAGCTCAAAGTCTAGCTCATATCCGTCTAGCTCTTAGCAAACAGCACTAATAATATTCCGTTTGTAGCTTTCATTCTCAACCATCTCAATTTGAGCTATTTATCTACCTCCCTCCATCATCTACTGTATGTGACAAATCACAACTTGTCTTCACTAGATGCTGTTTCTGCTGCCACAGGACGTAAATCTTGGTTTTAGACATTTGGTCAGTTCCTTTCTGCAATGTAGCAGATCGCTTCATGATTCATATTACTCCACATCATAAATGTGCTCTGATTTATTCAGTTCTGTTCTGCAACCCTTCTGCAACAGTGCTGTTATTTATTTTGTATTGTAGTGAGAAATATCATATAAAAGTTAATTTTAATCATATTTTGTAATGTTTTCAAAAGCATGATTACTCCAGTCTTCAATGTCACCTGATCAGACAGAAATCATCCTGATATGCTGATTTGATGCTCAAGAAACATTTTTCTTTATTATTATCAATGTTGAAAACAGCTGAGCTGCGTAATATTTTTGTGGAAATTGTGAAACATTTTATTTCAAGATTCTTTAAAGGGTCATTCCACCTCTGGAAAGATGAATGTGTATTTAAAAAGGGTAATTTATTTAGAAGAAATGTGAAATTATTTTTGAGTTTGGAGCATTCTAGAGTGAGAAAAAATGTATTTTTGGCTTATCTGGATGAAAGGCAACAACTCCCAGAATGCACTTGCTTCGCTGCCTTAGAAGGCCACGCCTACGGCTAACAGCGCAGTAGTTAAACAACAAGTCTAGGCTAGTCTATTGAGTCGCCCAAAGGAATTTAAAATATATGAATTATTATTTCATTTTTTAAAAGATACTCATTTTATGTCATTACTACCATAACGTTATCCACACTCCAATCCAGTAGGTGGCGGGAATGCACCATTAAAGTTTGGTTTGCCAACTGCCATTAAACTTGAAAGAAGAAGAAGAATAAGTACTAGTGAGTCTCCATAATGAGTCTGCCCGAAAATGTGTTTCGAAATCGCCCAAAATGTCCGGGATTTGGCTTTTGTGTTCTACAGTCGCCATTCATCATGTTTACTGTGGCGAGCGGGACGAGTGAGGGCCGTATAGTGAACGACGCGAGGCCGATGGCGTGATTACCAATGAGCGACTCCTGTGAGACGTAAGTTACCGGTCTCGTATCTCTCACGGAGGAGCGGGAATTTTCTTAGCAATGTCAAACCGCACATCAACCGATCACTCTTTTAGCGTTCATATAAGATTCACCTATCAGAATGAATTCAGTTAGTTTGAAACAAAAGCTGTGCTTGTAAACAATGCATGGCGACTGCAGAAAGCAAAAGCTGAATACTGGACATCGACGGCCGGACATGTCCGGGAAAAAGAGGACGGTCTTCTCCTAATGCACCGTCTTTTAAAACAACAAACAACAACTGAACCTTAAAGGGTTAGTTCACCCAAAAATGAAAATTAAGTCATTAATTACTCACCCCCATGCTGTTCCAACCCCGTAAGACCTTCGTTCGTCTTCGGAACACAAATGAAGATATTTTTGATTAAATTTGAGAGCTGTATAACTACCACATTGGCTCCTAAAGGACTGCCTCTTGACGGCCCAGGAAGTCAATGAAGAAAATGTTTAAATATCCCAAGTGACTACCGTGGCTCAACTATATGTTTATCAAGCGACGCGAATACTTTTTGTGCGAAAAAACAAACAAAAATAACGAGTTTATTCGACTATTTCTTTTCTTCCTTGTAGGCCAGAACGAGACTTCCTTAGATTTCCACGACGCATGCGCGAGAATTGCGATCTGAAGTAGTGTAAGCTGGTGTAAGCAGATCGCAAATCTCGCGCATGCGTCGTGGAAATCTAAGGAAGTCTCGTTCTGGCCTACAAGGAAGAAAAGAAATAGTCGAATAAACTCGTTATTTTTGTTTGTTTTTTCGCACAAAAAGTATTCGCGTCGCTTGA